GAGCGACCAGAGAGAGAGAGAGAGAGGAGAGAGAGAGCGAGAGAGAGAGAAAGATAAAGAGAGAGAGAGGGAGCACCAGAGGGAGGAGAGACGCGTGAGAGACAGGAGAGGAGAGAAGAGAGGGGGAGAAGAGAAGAGAAAGAGGCGAGACATCAAAGGAGAGAGACGGCCGACGAGAAGAAGAGAGCGGGATCGCCAGATAAAAGAAAGAAAAGCAGAGAGAGAAAAAACGTGATGGCCGACGTGAACGCCACACATCCGCGCAAACCGACCTGGCCATATACCAACGCGGTCTCACTCATCCCTCACTCTACATCATCCCTGATCCTCATGCTGTCCTCGTACGGTCATGAGCAGCGGGTCGCGAGTGCCACGCTGGGCAGGTATAAACGTTCGGCCAGTAGAGTGTGTCGGATAACGATGGTGGTAGTCAACCTACCCAGAGCGGCATACTCCGCGCGCGCGTCACCGCTTTGTGTTTACGGAAATGAATGCGGTTCACGAAAGGCCACGTGTTTCCCACCGCCGTTATAAGCATACCATGGCGGCGGGTGTATAGGGGAAGCTGTATGTATGTATGTGTGTGTGGCGCGGCGTCGTTGCCTCTTCGAAACATCATTAACGTCCTCCGGATCTAGTCAATCTCGTCGAGGACGGTTGTTTCTTCTTCGTCATACATAGGTCCATTTGCAATTTCAGTCGGTGCAGGCATTGTTCATTTTCGCCATGTCGTATTATACGGGCCATAAACGATCGAGGTGTACGTGTTACCTCTAGAGTTGAATGGGCTGGCAATTTTTGAATGAGATGGATGAATTTCTCCCGCGTTCTCCTTCGCTTTCATGTCCAAACGTCACCATGTTGCGTGTTGCGTTCTCAGTATATTATGCATCGCTCACCTCGTCGTCTCGCCCGCATTATTGCGCGCGGAGGGGAAGCACCGATAGCGGAGTTCTTCAAAACCGCATTCTCATCTGTTACCGCGCGTGCACATACACGCGTGAAATCTGAACTGAGGACCGGCTAACCTAGACTGAATCGCTTTGTGATGAGTCAGTAGGCATGCATGTAACTGATGACCGCCCCGATGTAGCATCAGGCGTCGAGCGACTGCTAGGCCCCATTAGCTACCCGCTTTGCAATTATCGCCGTAAATCGGCATAAATTACCACATTATATGCCACTGATTATTAAAACTTAAAATAAATAAAGGCCAGAGATTTCTCTCTCTCAACAGACACCGTATACAAACATACACACAGACGAGCCGCGCCGCGGCTCTGTCTTCTCCTCCCTCTCTCTCTCTCTCTCTCTCTCTCTCTCTCTCTCTCTCTCTCACTCACACACATGAACATACACCCCATACATACATAATCTCTCCCCTTCCTTTCCCTCTCCCACTCACTCTTCCTCTCCCTATCTCCTTCTCTCTCCTCTTTTTAGCCTTCTTTCATTCTTCATTCTCGCTTTATTTTTTTCCTATCTTTCCATCCCGTCTTTATCTGCCAATCGTTCTATCCCCCTCTTCTTGATTTCCTTCTCTCACTTCCTCTTTTCACTAAATATTTACATGCAATTCAAAGGCACCCTTGTTCTCGCCGGTAATGGAGAAAGGCAAGAATCTACCTCATCGGCCCCAGAAAATTACCGCGAATGAAATAGAATCTTATTCGTGGCGAGTCAGCTACAGCAATTATGGCTTCGGAATTAGAGGCACGAAATTAAAGGTATTATTTTAAAGGCTTTGCGCTGAAAATTAATTTTTACTGCCTCCGCGCGCTTCGGTGATGAGTCGTCGCTCGGTTGCCATGGCAACTCTTTGTGCATTCATAGCAATGACAGAATAAAACAACATGACCTGTCACCAATGACCCGGATTCGTGGGTGAGCGATGCTATGCGTGCGTGTGTGTGTGCGTGTGTGCGGGCGTGTGTGTGTGTGCGGGCGTGCGGGAGTGTGTGCGGGCGTGTGTGCGGACGTGTGGGCCTGTGTGCGGGCGTGTGTGTGTGCGTGAGTGCGGGCGTGTGTGCGGACGTGTGTGTGTGTGTGCGTGTGTGCGTGTGTGCGGGCGTGTGTGCGGACGTGTGTGTGTGCGTGTGGGCGGGCGTGCGGGCGTGTGTGCGGGCGTGTGTGCGGACGTGAGGGCGTGTGTGCGGGCGTGTGTGCGGGCATGTGTGCGGGCGTATGTGCGTGTATGCGTATATGTGTGGCTGTTGGTGCGGGCGTATGTGCGTGTATGCGTATATGTGTGGCTGTTGGTGCGTGCATGGGTACGTGCGCGTGTGCGTGCATGTGCGTCTACGTGTGAGTGTTCATGTGTGCGTGTGCGCGCGCGTGTGTGCGTGCATGTACATAGGTGTTCGGTGAGTGTACAAGGAATCGGGGTAGGCTCGGCATATCAAAGAGATATATCTGGCACGTATATCATAGTTGAAATAGGACCCCATATGACAATGTGTGTGCCTGTGTCTGTGTGTGTGTATGCGTGCGTGTGTGTGCGCGTGTGTATTTGTGTGCGCGCGTATGCGAGTATGTGCTGTGCTTTGATTTTAATATGCACACGTTTGCAATTATCGGATATCATGATTATTCACATTTAATTAAACGAACGCAGAGAGATGAGAGAGCGCGATGGGGTGGCTGCGAGGGAGTGTTGGTGGGGGAGATCAAACATGGCGTCTAATCGTAATGAGCTACTGCTGACCTTTAGTAAGCTTGCTAGCCTGTGTGCAGTAATAATATAATGCTGAATACTCGTGCATATTAAAGTGAAAGGGTATTAATGTTTTAGCGTAGTTCTGTGTGGAGGAGAAAACGCGCGGCGCTCGTAATATTTCACCTTTCAACAAAGCCGTGCGTTCGTGCGTGTGTTCGTGCGTGCGTGCGTGCGTGCGTGCGTGCGTGTTTGTGTGCGTGGGATCGCGCGTGCGTATACACGCGTGCCTGTATGCGTTCGCTTGTTCGGCCGCTCGTTCGTGCTTGCATTATTGCGTTCGTTCGTTCGTTCGTTCGTTCGTTCGTTCGTTCGTTCGTTCGTTCGTTCGTTCGTTCGTGCTTGCGTGCGAGCCTGCGTTCGTTCGTTCGAATGTTCGTTTGTTTGTTTTTTGTTCGTTTTTCTTTATTCGTTTGTTCGTTCGTGCTTGCACGCGAGCGTGCGTATGTGCGTACACGTGAGCGTGCGTACATACGTGCACGCGAGCGTGCGTACGTGCGTGTGCGCGCACGTGTGAAATCACGCGCAACTGAAGCAAGGAGCAAACTGTGAATCGTGTTTGAGGCGTCATCGGTGACAACATTGTGCTCACGCACACGTACGCATACTCGCCCGTACGCACGCACGCACGCACGCACGCACGCAAGCACGCACGCCTCCTCCT